GTTCAACTCTCGGCACCACAAAATTGAGTGAATAAATATTAAAAGTTTTAAACAATTAAGTTAAATGTAAAATGAAAATGGTGTGGGGTTTTTTGTTTTGTTTTTTCATGTTATTTATTTGTATGAATGTTTTGGCCCATATTTTTATTAAGTTCACCATATTCATGCAGTGCCCACAGAGGCCAGAAGGTGTCAGAAACCCTGGAATTGGAGTCACAGGTTAGGAACCACCATGTGGGTGCTGGGAACCCAACTCTGCAAGAGCAGGCAGTGCTCTTAACCACGGAGCTGTTTCTCCAGCCCCTATGGTGATATTAAACAAACAACAAATACACCTTAGACTTACACAAAACTGAGTTCCCCAGGCCGCACAGGCCGGCCGAATCACACAGAAAAGGAACGTGGGGCCGCTGGAGCGTTTCAGAGGAGAAAGCACAAATGTGAAAGTGCTCACGGCCCCCGACTTTGCCCCGTGATGAGCCCTGGGGTAAGGGGAGAGATGCCAAAGCAGAGGGGCAGGCGGGACATTGTGGTTAATGCGGTGGCTGCCGGCATGGGATGGAACTGGTAATTCTGCTGCTGTAATGCGTAGTCAACACTGCCGATGTGAGTGTCGGCGCGGCTCGCGTACCTCGAAGGCCTCCAAGGAGGGGCAGCTCAAAGAGAATGCTTTTCTTTCTTTTTTGTTTTCCTTTTTCCTTTCTTTTCTTTCTTCCTTCCTTTCCTCCTCCTCCTCTTCCTTCTCCTCCCCCCCCTCCTTATGACATATGAGTGCACATATTTGCAGGATAATAATTGGGTGGCAATTTGTAAGGTGATTTCTTGTTACATAATATTTATTTCTTATGGGGGAGCACGTGTGTGCTGTGTATGGCAGGTGAGGGCCGGAGGGGCATTTCTTTCCACCACGAGGGTGCTGGGGATCAAACTCAGACCATCAGTCTTAGAACAAGTGCCATCCCCCACTGAGCCACCTTGATGGCCATAAAACACAATCATTTGAAACATGCAGTTGATGCATAATGATTAAACGAGGGCGATCCCCATCTCCCCCTTCTTTTCTCCTCTCTTTTTATTTTATCTTTGGAGGCTGTGCAGCCCAGGCTGGCCAGGAACTCTCTCTGACAGCGCAGCTGGGCCTCGAACTTGAGTCCTCTTACCTCTGCCTCTCAAATGCTGGGATTTCTATCTTCTCAATATGTATCATTTCTCTGTATTTGAACTTCCAAATTTCTCTCGTCTAGTTCTTTATAAATATATGATAAATTGGTAACAACTGTCTCCACTCCCTGTGCTGTGGGAGAATAAAGAAGCCTCTACCTAAGTACCATTGCCTCACTACGTAGAAAGTATTTTTTCCCAAATAACGCGACTGATCAACCGAAGAGCTTCCGAAGCACAATGGACCGGTGTCGTTTAGATAAGCCATCTGTCTGGTGTTCTGGATGGAAATGAAGATCAACTGCCCCACAATCCTTCAAACAGCAGGTGCCCTTACGTGGGCCAGACTTGCCTAGAAAGGAGACCAGAATGACGCGGCCCCGATGAGTCCCCCAGGCTTCCCATTCTAAAAATGTCTCGTTAAATGAGTCCAAGCGGTTGCTTCTGAAATCATAAATTCCGAAAGACAGTGAAAGTTGCAATCACAAGGGGTAACAGAAGCCAAACACATTAGGAACATGTTCCTGGAGCAAACAGCCTAATCCGGGACACGTGGGAACACATGGTTTGCCTCAATCATGTTTCATTTAGTCATCGCACTGAGTGTGCAGTATTTCTCTCTGGGTGCAAGAGTGATTGATTTCCTTGGGAGAATTGTTTGGAAGAACCTGAAAGTTGCCAAGGCAAACACGTTGGAGGGAAGTGTGGAGAAGGGGAGGGAGACGATTTGGAGTAGATCTGGCCTGGGGAAGTTCATGCAGAGGTGAGACAGTGAGATGTAGAACAAATAAAAACATTCTGCACACTTCATCTACATAAATTATGTTCAGAAATCCACTCAGTGTAGACATTAGCCGCATAGCTACAAGCCCCCCGAGTGCACGGCCAGAATGTGGGCACGGAGCCAGCTTCTAAGTGAATGATTTGTAACTTTTCCTCCATACAAATTAATCTGTTCATATTTAGGTCACCCTGATTTTAATCCACCAGTCATGTAGTCTTTGGGAAAAAATAAAGAAAGACCAATTATCTTTTATGCCTTTTATGACAGAATTCTACTACTGCCTGGTGAATAGATTCGTTTCAAGATATGTTGACTAAACACAAAACCTTAGGTGTGCTTCCTGTGGTCTCTTTACTATAAAAAGAAACCTCTCTGGAAATGATACAGCACGATTTTCAGTCTTGCCCATTTGAGATAGCTCTTTTGGTCATTTGCATGTTTACTGTGGCCTTGAAGACAGCTTTGTTTAGGTCTTATCTGCCTTTAGATTTCAGCTTCTAAGAGACGCAAAGGGTCCTAAAATACTCAGATACTTTGATACATTTGTGTGTAGTTTGGTTTTGCTGTTCATTTCAGTTTTGTTTTGGGACAGGGTCACCCTATGGAGCCCAGGCTGGTCCCAGTCTCTCCAGTTCTGGGATAACAGGCATTTGCCAGGAGGAGAATAGTTCTGTACTAACCTCATGACTCACAAATGAACTTTGGTTTATTCTATTTGGATTTTATTTTGCCTGTAGCTATCCCTAGATGTAGAATGAAAACTTCTGCGAATTAGCTACACGACATCTGAATAAACATCTCCATTCAGGAGCTGGAGAGATAGCTTGGTGGTTAGGAACACTGGCTGCTCTTCTAGAGGTCCCTGGTTCAGTTCCCAGCACCCACATGGCAGCTCACAACTGTCTGTAACTCCAGTTCCAAAGTACCTGAAACTTTCACACCAATGCACATAAAGTAAAATTAAATAAATTATTTTTAAACATCTCCATTTAAGGGTAATCTATAAGGGCTGGCGAGATGGCTTAGAGGCTAAGAGTGCCTGCGGCTCTGGCAGAGGACCAGAGTTGGGTTCTCAGCACCCACATTTGGCAGTTATGCCCTCAATGCCTGTTAACCCCAGTTCCAGAGAATCCACATTCTCTTCAAAACTCCACAGGCACCTGTTTGCTCACTCATGTGCACAAATGCATGTGTACACATGCACACACACACACACACACACACACACACACACACACTTAAAAATAAAGAAATAAAATCTTTTTAAAAACAAAGGGTGATGGCACCTAACGTGTTGGCAAGAGTTTCCACCTAAAACCTGAGTAAAAAGACTCTAAAACAGAGCTAAAAAACAGTTCCTAGTTGTCTCTTTCAAGCTAGCAGCAGCCTGTGTATTTGAGCTACCATGGTGGGTTGCTGGTGTGTGCGCTTGACCTGCAGTATGGCGGGAATGAGGCCTCTGCAAGTGGCACATTAAGCTGTGTGGTGGATTTAACCTTTGCTAGTACAAAACAAAAAAAAGAGGTTTCTGGGCTACACGCTGCTTGGATAAAAGCATAGACCCACGATAGCTCCCAGAGCTGGTGGTAAACGTACCACCGCCATATTGGAAAGCTGAGGTGGGCGGAGCCAGCAGCCATAGCGCCATTTCAGTCTTACAAATGCTGCAGTTTAAAGCAATAGATTCACAATAAGACAGATTCAGATGTAATAGTTTACAATGTGTGTAAAATATACGTAGGCTTGAAAGAGACAAAAAAGGTGATATATACAGTTATATAAACAAATACAGTTTTAAAAAATAAAGTCTTTATAGAAACAGTAAAATTAATATAAAAAATAAGCCACGTAAAGATGAATATTACAAAGAGAATCTGGATTGTGTTGTCTTTGGGATTTTTAACTGCAGAAAAACATTTGATCGTAAAAGATGTTGAGTTAAACCAATATGTATATTTTAAAGAGACCTTGACTTCAAAATTTGGATATAAGGATATGTTGCTTTGGAAAGGAGGCTCTGCTTTTGTTTCTACAGAAAGCCAGAGGCTATGGATTTGTTCCAGATTAAGATACATCAGGTTTCACCAGCCAAGACCCCCTGAAAGGTCTCTGATGACACCATGGCCCAGATAATCCAACATCCAGAATTGTTTCAAGGCAACTGGCTCAGAGGATACAGCCTCATGGACTACTCCATGATCCTAAAATTTTCTTTGTGTCCCCATAAGATACAGCACCCCACTCCAGCAGGAAGTAGTAAGAGAAGCTACACCCAAATTCCCAAATATACCAAGCTGGCTTTGGAGATGTGTAAAAGTTAAAACCTTCCTTTTTGAAAAAAAAAAAATTGGGAAAGTGCTGTGGGATGGTCTGTATGTCAAATCTGTTGTTCTGATTGGTCAATAAATAAAACACTGATTGGCCAGTGGCTAGGCAAGAAGTATAGGCGGGACTAACAGAGAGGAGAAAAGAAAGAACAGGAAGGCAGAAGGAGTCACTGCCAGCTGCCACCATGACAAGCTGCATGTGAAGATGCCGGTAAGCCACGAGCCACATGGCAAGGTATAGATTTATAGAAATGGATTAATTTAAGCTATAAGAACAGTTAGCAAGAAGCCTGCCACGGCCATACAGTTTGTAAGCAATATAAGTCTCTGTGTTTACTTGGTTGGGTCTGAGCGGCTGTGGGACCGGCAGGTGACAAAGATTTGTCCTGACTGTGGACTAGGCAGGAAAACTCTAGCTACAGGATGATATTCTAAGCACAAAATAAATGATGTCAAACTCAAATAACAAAGGTCTGAGCTGACTATGTACAGTAGTAGCCAGCACAGCTCCCTGTGTGGAGGTACTCAGGACCCACGCTCGGACACAGCCCTCTGTTCCCCATTCTCCCATCACCAGTTAGTGCCTGACAGAAGAGGAGTATGTTTGTATCAGCTATCCTTGCTGTGTGACAAATGAATCCAAACACAGAACTTCAGAGCAACCTTTACCTCCTTGGAATTGGTATGGGTCAGGAGTCAGGGTGCAGTTTGGCTAGCTCCCCTACCTAGATCAAAGGTCTCCCAAGGTCTAACTAGGATGAATTAACTCCCCAGCTCATTTACATGTTTGCTGGAAGGATTCAGTTCCTCACTGGCCAACGGACTGAGACTTCAGTTTCCCCCCGGGGCTGTTGGCTGCTGGTCCCCCTCAGTTTCCTCCGTGGGTCTCTAAACAGAGCATAGCCTGTCAGCCAACTGCATCAATGTCACACGGCAAGCGGGCAGGATGGTTGCTCAACAGCTGGTCACATCCCAACACTATTTTTTTTTCTAATTGACATACATTCATTGTACATAGTGATGGTTTGGTGGTTTCCACAGAAACAATTTCCTACAAGCACATCGTGTGCTTTGACCATATTTATCCCCGTACTTTCCTTGTCCCCCTCCTCTGCCCCCCCAACCTCTTTAATTCCTCTAGTCCCATCCTGCTTCTACTTTCATGTCACACATACTATGTGTGTGTTTGTGGGTACACACATATACACATGTGTGGTGCGTGACCTAGGAGACACACACACCAAGAAGACAAGTGGAGCTTGAGGGACAGCCCAGGGCTTAAGAGCAGTGGCTGCTCTCCCAGAGGATCCAAGTTCAATTCCCAGGCAGCTCACAGTCGGATGTCCTCTTCTGGTCTGCGGGCATACATGCAGCCAAAGCACCTGTGTACATAAAAAATAAATCTTAAAAAAAAGAAAAGAAAAGAAAAAAAGCAATCCAACCAATGAATGGTCCAATGAAATGAACAGATGAGGTATAAATAGCCAATAAATGTATGGAAAATGTTCAACATCCTTAACCAGTAAGGAAATCCAAATTAAAACCACACCAGGATTCCACCTCACCCTAGTCAAAATGGTCATCAAGAAAATGAAAATACATGCTAGTGAGGATGGGGGAGATCGTCCACTATGGCTGGTGGTAATGTAAATTGGTCCACCCTGGAAATCAATGTGGAGGGCCCTCAGAACTAAACAGAAACCACTATATGCTCTCCCACTTCTGCTGCGTTGTCTTTGATGGAAGCCACTCTCTCAGTCCAGATCACACTCAGAAGGGAGAGAAATTGCAGAAAAGTTGTGAATACCAGGAAGTGTGGCTCAACGGAGCTGTTCCAGGAGCTGCCTCCCTTGCGCTGGTGACTGCGACAGCCTTGCTTACTTCTTGGCATTTGATTGTGACATGTTCCCCATAGAGTCTCATATTTTAACACACAGTCACCAGATGGTGGCGCTGTTTTGGTGGTTGAGCCTTGGAAGTGGGTCACGGGTGGGGTGGGGAAGGAGGGCAGGTCAAGAAAGACTGCACATATGATCCCTCCTCTCTCTCGTCATTTGGGCTCCTGGAGCTCTGCCAGGGGCTTGGCCATGGATCTCTGCATCTGCTTCCATCAGTCACTGGATGAGGGTTATTCAGCCATCTGATCACCAGAGTAGGTCAGCTCAGGCACCCTCTCGACCACTGCCAGTAGTCTATGGTGGAGTCATCTTTGTGGATTCCTGGGGACCTCTCTAGCACTCTGATTCGTTCTATTCCCAGGGGTCTTCATTTATCGTGGTATCTCTTTCCTTGTTCTTCCACTCTGCTCCTGATCCAGCTGGTACCTCCCACTCCCCTAAGCTCTCTTTCCCCCAACCCTTGCCTTCCATCACCCCGCCACACACACACCCAGTTTGCTCATGTAGATCTCATCCATTTCTCTGTCGCTGTGCGATCCCTGTGTCTTTCCTAGGGTCCTCTTTACTAGCTAGCCTCCCTGGAGCTGTGAGTTGCAGTCTGGTTATCCTTTGCTTGTGGATCCGGGTGTAGAACTCTCAGTTTCTCCAGCACTATGTCTGCCTGCACGCCGTCATGCCTCTGCCAGACTGATCATGAACTAACCCTCTGAAGCTATAAGCCAGCCTCAGTTAAACGCTGTCTCTATTAAGAGTTGTAGTGATCACGGTATCCTTCACAGCAATAGAACATTGACTAAGAAAATAACTTATAATAAAAACCAGGAGATATCATATGATAGTCCCTCATACGGCGCATCTAGATGATATTTTTTGTCCTCCCCACATCTAGATGAGATTTTTGTCCTCACACACACACTGGGAACTGGATCCAGAGCCTCCCGAATGCCACTGAGCAAGATCACCAGCTCTCAAATATATGTTTGGCTAATCTCTACTTTGGATTTCAGTTTGGAAAATCTAGTAGATCTCAGGCATCTAACTCCACAGGCTGACACTTTGAAGGGTTTGAGGCCAAGTGGACTTGGGTTACCCTAAACAGGCTTCAGAAGAGCCTGTCAACAGAGGAGGAAGCACACAGCTGTCTCCATGTTACACTTGTTTCTAAATCCCAGTTCTCTGGGAAAGTCCTTAAACTCTATCCATGCTCAAAAAACAATTGTAGTTGGGGCTGTAGATGGCTCAGCAGCTAAGGACACTTACTGTTCTTGCCATGGGACCCAGGTTCAGTTTCACGGCACCCACCAGGCAGCTCATAACAGCCTGGAATTCTAGTTCCAGGGGAGCCAACACTCTCTTCTGGACTCACCAGGCTCCTGGGGCCCACATGGTGCTCATAAACTCAAGCAGAGTCACACACATGCACAGAAATAAAATAATTAATAATAATTTTTAAAATGTTAATTGTCACAGGTGTATTCCCAAGAGTATAAGGTGGCTAAAAATAGCTGATTCTGTGTGCTAGGGCCTTCTAGCAGGAATACATTCTCTGAGATAGTTAACATCACACCCATGGGATACAATGGTCTACAATACAGCTCTGTACTCTTCTGGGCTGTGTACCATTCCATTCCCTCTCCCTTCCTTTGTCTTATTTGTTTGTTTGTTTGTTGATTTTTGAGACAATCTTCCAATGCAACCCAGGTTTGCCCTGAACTTTCAGCTCCCCCACCTCAGCCTCCTGCACACAGGGGATTGCAGACATGCATTACCATGCATAGTCCCTTCGGCTCTTTATCATGCCTCCAAATTCATGGTCCTGTCCTCGAAAGTCTTCTATGTTATTGTAGAAATGAAAAGAGTCTGGGATGGAAGCTTTGGGTTCAAATCTCAACTCTGGTAGAAACTATGTAGCCTGAATTTATTTACTTAACCTCTTTGAAGTTGTTTCTATTTTGGAAACAGTCTAAACAGGTATCTCCTAGATTTGACATGTACATAAAAAGCAATATGGCATAAAAGTTCTTGCCTCACAGTAGCTGCTAACTAAATGTTATTTCACCCTTCCTTCTGTTTACACCCCCCTTCCCCCGGGCTTAGCATGTCATCCTGTATATCTTAGGTCATTCAAAAATGTTAGAACTTGCAAAAGTCCAGGGTTGTGCCCTTAGGCTAGCTGGACATTTCAGGAAGCAGACAGTGGAACCTACACTAATATGAACAAACTCTCTAGTTAATAGTTCATGCAGAAGACATGGGATCTCACCCTTCCCTTCTCAAAATCTCATTAGGGAGGAGATTCACTCTTGTCATTCAGAGGATGTATTAACTGTTGACTTGAGCAGGTAATACAACTCTGTGTTATTGACGTTACACCCTCAGTACTGGAAGAATTAATATAGCTATTGGAACTTCACTGTTGAAGACCTCAGCTGTCCCTTTGGGCACATATGATGAACATAAGAAATATATTGCATTGTTGAAATTAGACAATTCTTTCTCAACTTTCTGTTGGTATAACCAATAGAGCATTTACTCACTTTGCCCTCGCAAGTCTGTGATAAATGAAAGAAAAAGTCTTGTATAATAGCTGTCTGACTCTCCTACTAACTGACTGCATGTTAATTGCTTCTGGGAAGGGGGTATACCAGAGGCAACAGTTCAAAGGAAAATCGGCCCCTGGTTCAGTTTAATAATGCACTGTAGCTTTTTAAAATACCTTCTAGTACTAATTTCTTGCTTTTATAAGTATAATCATGGGGCTGGAGAGATGGCTCAGAGGTTAAGAGCACTGGCTGCTCTTCCAGAGGTCCTGAGTTCAATTCTCAGCAACCACATAGTGGCTCACAACCATTTATAATAAGATATGGTGCCCTCTTCTGGCATATAGAAATACATGCTGGCAGAACGCTGCATGCATAATAAATAAATCTGTTTTTTATCTTAAAAAATAAGTATAATCATATATAATTTATTAACAGGGATATATTTTGAGAACTGTGCTGTTGCTGGGTGATTTTGTTTTGTATCAGCCTAAGTGTGTTGTAGTTATGCAAACTAAGATAATCATGACTCATAACTAGGTGGTTAAGTCTAATGGGACCAGGTTATTTTGTGGTACATCACTGTACTGTGACTGCCCCCAATCCAAGCATAGAATGGTTGTGATTTTTGTTTTGTTTTGTTTCCATTTTTTTATTTTATGTATAGATGTTAGGCCCATTTGTATGTCTGTGTATCATGTGCATGCAGTCCACATGGAGGCCAAAAGAAGGCATCAGATCCACTGGGCCTACAGTTACCAATGACTGAGAGCCCTGTGTGGGTGCTGGAGATCGAACCTGGGTCCTCTGGAAGAGCAGTCAGTGCTCTTAACTGCTGAGCCAACTCTCCATCTGGGAAATGGTTGTCTTTTAATGGTTAATTATTAGTATTTATATATCTTCTGCTTATAAAATACATATCGAATTTTAGACCAAGCAAATAAGTGAAAGTATGAAGAAAGTGTGTTATTTTGAATGGAAAGACCTTTTAGGTGTGGTACCCATGAATTATGACCAGATGTTTTCTCTTATTTCAGATACTTGACAATTATAGATATTACTCTATGAATTACAGTCAAGCCAAGCAATAATTAGCAGAGCATTGTAAATGTCATTCATACAAATGGGAATGTGGCTACCACACCCTCACTGTGCTAGCCGGACTCCAGATTCATTGGGCTGAGAGGGATGATTAGAACGGTTTCTTTTTTATATATATATTTCTTTTTTTCTTTTTTCTTTTCTTTTATTTTATTTTACAATACTATTCAGTTTTACATAACAGCCACAGATTCCCTTGTTCTCCCCCTTCCTGCCCTAGAACGGTTTCTTATCTTTACTGATTTACCTTTGGATAGGTAGACAAGGAAAATTTTCCCCAAATTATTTTACCCACATTGTTCATCTGCCAGATTGGTCAGTTCATTCAGTAGTCAGAAAATAGCTTTTATAGATTTCCTTGCTTTATCCTATGTGCATGAGTGTTTTGCCTGCATGTACATATATGTATCATGTGCATGTCTAGTGCCCACAGGGGTCAGAAGAGGGCATCAGATCCCCCAGAACTGAAGTTGTCAATGGCTGTGAACTGCTCTTGAGTACTAAAGTACTAAGAACCAAACTCACGTCCTCTGCAAGAGCAACAAATGCTCTTAGCCAATGAGCCGCCTCTCCAGTCCCCAGAAAATATTGTAATATCAATAGGATATGAAAAAACAAAGAAATGAGATTGGAATATGGTGGGAAATTCATAGTGAATACAGTAAAGATGGAGTTCACAGGACTCTGTAATAGAATAACGTCAGATAAACAGGACAGATAATAAATCATCAAGAATGGGGACAGATGAGAATGATGAAGCCTGGGCTCTCGAGTTTAGACCACCTAGGGCTGGATTCTACACATTAGCTCCTCCACTTACTTGATAATGAAAAGCGGGTGTGTCTGGTAGACCGCCTGTAAGAGTCAGATGACATGATTCCTCTAACCTAATTCGCATGCCTCCTCCCCAGAAGTACTCCATACACGTTAACTCATGCAGTGATAGCTCATGATGTGACACTATTTCCAAGAAAAGGTAGAGATCTCAGCCAGTTCTTATGTAATGACAACTACAGAGATAAGAGGAAAAGCCACTCCAGGTATGGACTGTGACATCAATAAGTGCAAAACGCCGAACATTTGCAGAGCCCACCTAGACAGTAAATTTGACCCAATTATAAAGGACCAGATCAGAACTGGACCACTGATCACAACTAGGAAATCACTTTCAGTTCTTGAACAGAAGCATAGGCCTCTGTGGAGGACAGACATGAGGACATACACCTCAAACCTGGAGGCAGAAGGACCAGGAGCTTGAGGTTAGCTCGGGCTACATGCTGAGACCTCGTCTCCCAAAACAAAAAGAGGATTTTGGAAAGAGAATTTGTAGCATGTGTTGGTCCATGAACAGACTAAAAGATACGAAAGCAGTTCAGTGGTACAGGCTCCTGGCGTCAGGAGTGGAGAAGAAATGAGGCAAGTTTCTGCAGAACGGACAAGCTTTGGTGAAGAGCCGATTCGAAGAGTCACCGTGATAGGGGGAGGAGGCAAGATTCTGAAAATGTTAATGCCGGGTTACTAGGGAAATGGAGTATTAGCCAAGAAGGGAAGCAATAATGGTTAGGTGCTTATCTTGGGACTGTTATAGCTGAGGCTTACAGAAGGTCTAGCAGGCAGCTGAACCTGGGACCAGAGATAGCAGAGTTTAGAGATGTTAGGTCTGAAACCTGAGTCACCTACCCGAGTAAAGAAGGCTGGATGCTAGGCTGTAGGGGCATCACAGCAAGTCATTGAAAGCTGTTCTCCTTCTGCCGAGCCCAGTCTGTCCATTTCCATTCCACTGGCCCCAGGTGTTTTCAACCCTCTGCATCCTCTGTCTTCTCATTATTCTACCCTATCAGGAAAGATAGTCCAGTCATCGAGAGGCAGGGGCAGATCTCTAAGTATGAAGCCAGCCTGGTCTAAATAGAGGACTCCAGGCCAGCCAAGGTTGACAACATTGTAAGACCCTAACAACAACAACAATAACAACACAAGAACAACAAAAAGCGGGGGATGGGGATTGGGGTAGGTGGGGCTGAGAGCCAGTCCTAAAGCGACCCTTCCCTCACTATAACAACTATGCCTCTCATAGGACCTTCCCACTTAGGAGTCAATACGACAAAGAATGTGTTTGGAGAACTAAATATGAAACTTCAACCGTTAACCACATGCTTGATTGACAGGCCCCAGCCCACCCTGTCCCCATTCCTCACATGCAAGTTACTTCTCTGCACTGCTAAGGAGACTCTGGACTGTATCAGACGAGGAGAGGCCCGCTGCTCGTCTGTATCATGAGACTCCGGCCTCGCCTCCCCCCTTCACGCTGACAGCACCCTGCTCGCTCAGTGTCTTGTTTCCATATGTAAGTTCCATTGCTTTCCAAAATCCATCGCAGACGCTGCGTCCTCCGAGAGGCCTTCCTCAGGCCTCCCAGATAGCAACGTCGCTCGCTGTGATCTTTAACTAATCAGCTCATATTTATATTGACGTACTCTGTGTAATATTTTAATTAGCATGTGTGTCTCCTCTCTCTCTCCCCCAGCCAGATGTTCTGCCTTTGTTTGTATCCACAGCAACGCCCCTCGTGCCTGGCATACAATAGGTGCTCACTAAGTGCAAGCAAGACGAGTCTATGACAATGACCAGAAAATTAAATGTAGGTCTTTGATTTCCCTGCCTTTGTTTTGCTTACAATGTGCCTATTTTAATGTGATCTTTATTTGTAATTTTTTTTTCAATTCTGATGCTATTTTGTGTGTATAATGTCATGTAGACTAAAGATTAGGGTCACAGGTTCCTAAGTTTGCCACTCCTTATAGCATTTCAGAAAGAATGGTCTTAGTTTACTATTAATTTATTATGCAGTTTTATTGACTTTTTAAAGTAAAAGTACTCTTTTTTTCCTCCAAGAATTTCTTTAAAGGTTTTACAGAGCAAAGTCATACATTATAAATTGCCTTAATTTCAAGCCAATCAAGAACTAAAAAACACAACAATCTAGTTACTAGAGGTTTTTGTATCTCCCCACCCCACACCCCACCCACAGATACCCATGATCCAGTTCTTCTGCTCAAGTTTCTTAGAGTCTGTGTGGTCCCTTCTGAACTCTAAGCAGACAGGGGCCTGTCTGTGTGAGCAGGTAGATGAATGGGTGGGAGGAAAGAGGCCTGTCACTTTCCTCCCGGCTCTCCAAAATTAATAGGACACATGTGTGCAAAAGTGGTAAGCCACTAATAATATTTAGAACTCCACAATTCCTAGTGGAAATAAAATAATACAACAGTCCAAGAAAAGAGCAAGGCCAGCAGCTAAAACGCGGGCACCCAAGTTTAAAGTCTGTCTGCAGCCATCACCTGTAACTGGGGCTGCTTGCAGCAAGAGTTCAGGTTGCTTCTATGCCATGATCCACTTGCAGGTAGACAGGTCCGATCATAAAGGAGAGATCTACATGAAAATTGTGCCATAATTGTGCACCTCCTGAGTTCATAATCGAGGCAAAGTTTTAACTGATTAACTAGTTCTTGTTGAGTCATCCTTTCATAGCAGGGTTACGGACGTTAAAGCGGTGACTAGAGCTCATGAAACTGCCACACATAGGACTTTATAAACCAGGTAAGGAAGTGTACTACCTTGTCTTAGAAACGAGGAGAGGAGGAGGGGGA